TATATATATATATATTAGTTTGCTGCAAATCGTCAAATGAAGAGATAAAATTTCAATTATGAATATAATATTTAGGACACAATCAATACCTGTCTTGGTCACACTGCCTTCTTGTGTTTTTTCAACAGACAATTCAGCTAACATATTGCTTGCATCATTTTCTTTATCTTCCAACTGCATATTTTCTTTATCTTGCAATTGTTCTCCTTGTTCTTCAGTTGCAAGTTCACACGATTCTGCAAAATATTTACAAGAGCTAACACAGTTAATACTTGTTACTAATCTTTGATTAAAACAAACATGTATAAAATTTAAAATAACACTGTCTAATCGTTTGCAATAGTCAAGATCATCCCAATTAAATCATTATCTTCACTAGCAATTTCTTGGGTTCCAATATTATCGGTAAGAGAGGGAGGTGTAGAGAGATCACATGTTCCATCTATGCATTTGGAACAATCTCACTTCTGCTTGTTCCTTCGGTATTTTCTACGTCTTGAGATTGTACTCCACTTTTCTCTTGATACTCCACTCCAGCTTCTTCCCTTGCAGCTTCAAAAGATTCTGTAACATTTGCAATTAATACCCATTCTAATAATTCACTAAAACTAACATTCAGTATATAATGAAAATTTTATCTAACCTTGATTGGCACAAGTTTGAAATCCAAATTTCTCTTTATATGACAGAGGTGTAGACAGATCATATGTTCCTTCTAAGCATTTGCATACAATCTCACCGACACTTGTTCCCAATAGACTTTCTAAATCCTCCTGAGATTGTAATCCACAACATTTACAAATTTTTTCTGTTACTCCTGTCTCTTTTGGATTTTCCTGGTCTTGACATTCTCCTACATCTTGAACTTCCACTCCATCAATAGATTCTACAAATGTTTGTAATCACAAAAAAGTTTATATGTATTACGCTATTGAATATAAATTTCAATGAAAAAAAATTCAAAATCTATATCTAACCTTTCCCAATATCAGTAACGTTCTCAGTTTCATCATCTAGATGTGCATCTCTAAAATCGCTTTCATAATAAACTTCTGCATCCACATCCATATCATCACGTTCATCACCGCCTGCATCTTTGTTGATTGTAACAGTAGGCTCTGCATCTTCTTCAACTCCATCTTTTCTAATTGAAACACTAAATTCTCTCTCTATGTTCCTTTCATCAACTTTCCCATAAATCTTCAACAAAGTATCAAGCTTTGATCCTAGAGTTTTCTTTAAATCCTGAGAAAGAAACTAAGTTAGAAAGTTAAGGACAGGTTCAAAAGTTAAGGACACGCAATCCTTAAGTTTGAATTACAGGTTGAAAAGTTGAGGACATGAGTCCTTAAGTTTGACTTCAAGGTTCAAAAGTTAAGGACAGGCAGTCCTTAAGTTTGAATTCCAAGTTCAAAAGTTAAGGACAGGCAGTCCTTAAGTTTGAATTCCAAGTTAAAAAGTTAAGGACAGGAAGTCCTTAACTTATAGTTTTAAGTTCAAAACTTAAGGACACAAAGTCCTGAACTTGGACTAACTGAAATTAATCATATTACCATGATTTCATTCTCAATCTTTTTTTCTGCTACAACTATTTTCTGATTTATTCTGGTAACTTCAGCTTGCAGATCCTTCTTAAAACTCTCTGATAATCTCTGAATCAAAAAACATAAAAAAAAAGTGTCGTAAGAAAAAAATAATCAAATAAAAAACTAATGCTATTCAAAGCCAGAAAGACATACTCTAACAAATTCCTTAAGTATGGGTTCATCAAATTGTGTGGAAGAAGGCCTTGAGCTTTGATCTTGTGAAATTGGCTCCTCCACACTAAGAGGCTCTGTATCTTCTTCTTCAACAGGAATAAATGGTGACACCTCGATCAACTTATACAACTATTATATGACAAAAAGTAAACATAAGTTTTCAGAACTAAAACAAATAAACAAAAAAATAGCTAGTAATTACATTAACTTACATTTTCATTATGGAAGTATTTTTTACAAAGAGAATCAAACTGTGGAGATTTCATTTCCGAATAACATAACATCCGAGGATAACCAAATTCTTGGAATTTCACAAATTGTTTTTCCTGGAAAATAGGAATTACTTCCATAATCCAAACACAAAAGGCAAAAGGAAAGCCAAGTATAGTGTAGCTATCCTTGTCTTTATCTTTGTCTTTCTCTTTCTCAATCTCATTCTCATTCGGCTTCAAACAACTCTTCAATGATTTTAATAGCGTGTCATAAGAAAGAGAGCCCCAGTTGAAAGAAGAGCAGAGTACATCATCGTCGATAATTTTCATTATCTGCTCGGACACATTCCGATTCTTCCGCTTGCCCATCAAAACAGATTCAACAAAATAAATTATTGCCAACTTCGCAGCATCATCGTCGCTGCCTACAAATAACGAAGCTGTACCGTGTGGGTGACTAGAAATAAAATTAAACAAATCACCCAACTCAATTCTATCCTTTCCGGGGAAATAGACTTTTGAAAGCCTATTCTCTTTCTCATGTAACATTTGATGTCCAGCGAGGAATAACACTTCAAACCAGTAATTAGATGAAATGCGTCACGTGTAAACTTAATTTCACGGTCAAGTACCTTGAATGTCATCGAATCAGGGTCATTATTCACAATTTCTGAAAGCAATATACAGTGAATAAGTTTACCACAGAACTTCACACTTTGTAATCGGAAGAAGTTGCCGAAAATACCATCCCTCAACTTCTTCCACTGACTGTTTGACATAATTGTTTCCTTATACTGTAAATCTCCTTTCCAATAGACCATAAAATTACGCCAATCATCAAACTTGAACACACGATCTCCTTCCATTATCACACTACAAAGATTAGGACTTAGAGTTAGTTGGAGGGACTTGGTCCTTAACTTCAAGTTTCACGTAAAAAAGTTAAGGACAAGCAGTTCTTAACTTAAAGTTTAAAGTTGAAAAGTAAAGGACAATAGGTCCTGAACTTCAAATTTGTAGTTCAAAAGTTAAGGACACTTGGTCCTTAACTTCAAGTTTCAAGTTTAAAAGTTAAGGACATGCAGTCCTTAACTTTGAATTCCAAGTTCAAAAGTAAAGGACACTTAGTCCTTAACTTAGATTTACAAGTTAAAGAGGTAAGAATAGGCAGGCCTTAACTTATAGTTTCAAGTTCAAAAGGTAAGGACACTAGGTCCTTAACTTCAAGTTTCAAGTTAAAAAGTTAACGACAGGCAGTCCTTAACTTATAGTTTCAAGTTGAAAAGTTAAGGACACTTGGTCCTGAACTTCAACTTTCAAATTCCAAAGTTAAGGACACTTAGTCCTTAACTTCAAGTTTCAAGTTCAAAAGTTAAGGATACTCAGTCCTTAACTTTGAGTTCCAACTTCAAAAGTTAATGTCGTTTGATCCTTATCTTTCATGAACACAGTTAACTAAAAATTCAGAAACACAATAAGCTTATGATTTTCTACGACTATTTTTATGAAATGTCCTTACATAATCAAATATATTGAATCAACCACAAACACATGACACATTTCAACACCAAAAATTTCTGAATAACAGCATCACAAAAATACGCTACTTCTCCGACACTGAATCAACTTATAATGATCATTTTTGAAATTTCACACATACTTGACAGGGCATTGAACGCGCACATATAGATCGATCGATTTTTGAAACAAAAATGCATCAAACAAAAAAAAATTACCAGTTAGATCGATCAATTCAGAGAAGATGAAGAAGGAGAAAGATTAACTGAAGCTCGTTTGCATGCGAGGATCATACAGCAGCAGAGAACACGCGAACTTCCCCTCTTTCAAATTTCCCACTTCTGAATGAAAAAACAAGGGTTTTGGGCCTTTTGGCATATGAAGGAAGGGTAAAACAGTCTTTTCTCTATTAGTAGTGGCTATTTTTGCTGAGCATTATAATTAGTGAATAAAAATTAAAGACACCCTTAATTAGTGGCTACTACACGCCATTTTTACTACAAGTTTAGGGGCCATTAGGCCATTCTGCTTCTTTTTTAGTTTAACATTTTTCCTTTTTGTTATTAATTTATTTTGAATAATGGAGGACAGAGATAGGCGAAAGGGAAGTCTATTGATCTTCAAACTTTATACTATCACAACTCATGGTACGTATTGTTGGCTTTGGCCTAGTAAAATCTCAATAATTTATCTCTTAGTACATTATTATCGAGCTCAAAAGCGCACAAGATAGAGAAATTTTTGCCTAAGACAAATATGCATCCCTACTTCAGAAGCTTGCAAACACGGAACCTTATAAGTCCTTCTCTTCATCAATTAAGTACACTTAATTCTAATTAAGAATTCTTTTCTTTAAGAGAAAAAGAAAGGGGGAAACTTGTGGCGGTTTACTTAAGTAATTTTCTTTTTTCATTTTTATTTTTACTTTAATTAATTTCTTAGCATACAGTACCCAATAAGAAAAATAAGCTGCACACATCTTTCTTTTTCCCACCCGAAACTCAGCTAGAACATCTTCGAATGGGACATCTATTAGCCTCGCCGCCGGTGGCATTTCGGCCGACCGGCGGTAACTCTGTGCGGTTAACTTCAACAATTCAGGCATTATCGGAGGAGGAAATTCCCCCAAATGCGATACGGAGAAAGCGAGATTCAACATGGAGAGGAGGTTTCAGTCTTGGAGTGGATTTGGGGCTTGCTCGTACTGGCCTTGCTATTAGCAAAGGCTTCAATTTTCGACCCTTAACGGTAACATGCCCAATTTTCATCCGCAAACCATGAAGGCACATACATTCGTATACTGGAATTTTGATTCGGATTGGATTTTTAGGTTTTGGAATTGAGAGGACAAAAACTTGAACTTCGAATTCTTGATATTGCCCTAAAACAGGTAAAGACGCTGTTTTTTTACGTTTAACGTAGAAAGATTTAATTTTTATGGTAAATTATCAACTGGGTATTGATAATTTATTTGATTCTTGAATATGTGTTTAGTGTTTCTTTCATTTTAATTTTTTAAGAATTAATCCCAGCATTTTGGAGTTTCATGAGAGTGTGGTTCTGTTTTGGAAGTTAGGAAGTGGATGAGTTTATAATTGGACTTCCTTTGTCAAGTGATGGAAGGGAAACTCCACAATCTAACAAAGTTCGAAGTGTTGCTGGTAGGCTTGCTGTTCGAGCTGCTGAGAGGTACCACTAATTATTTACATACTAGCATTTTTAATCTTCTTTTTACCTATCCAATTCATCTCAGAAACACTACTATTGTCATTGCCTTTACTTTTTATCAACTGTAATCTTATGGAAATCCTGAAGATTATGTGTCAAGTTGCGTGAAAACGGAAAAAAAGGCAGCCCGGTGTATTAAGCATCCCGCGTTCACGCAGGGAGTATGAAAATGAATATTCAAGAAAATTCTTGTGGGAGTTTAGTGGTTGAACTGTCCAGAGACATGTTTGCTTGCTATGCTTTACACTCTAGGGCTACTAGTTGACTTCCTATTTTCAGAAACCTTTGAGCTAGTATGCTTTTGTGCTACAAATTAAAAAGGCAGCCCGGTGCACTAAGCTCCCGCTATGCGCGGGGTACGGGGAAGGGCCGGACCACAGGGATCTATTGTATGCAGCCTTACCCTGCATTTCTGCGAGAGGTTGTTTTCATGGCTTGAACCCGTGACCTCCTGGTCACATGGCAGCAATTTTACCACTTACGCCAAGGCTCCCCTTCAACCTTACAAATTATGGATGCTAAATTCATCTGTTGTAGTCATTCTCTTATGTCATGTTTAAATGCAATTTATAAGTGGTGAGTGAGGGGCATTCTGTAGTGATTTGGCATCTTCTACGCTGTCTTGGAGACCTTTTGTTCATAAAAACCTTGCTTGTGATTAGGGGCTGGAGAGTATATCTGCAGGAAGAGTATGGAACAACAATAGAGGCCATGAGCTACATGGTTGATAGGTAATGGTTTCCTCTGACTTGCCCCTGTATTTATCGAATGAGTTATGACGAAGCAAGTAATTCACTTTCATAAAATCAAGTTTCAATTCTTTCTCTTATGCCAGCTAAGATCTAGGCTATGCAATCAACAAAGCTTTTATTCCTGTCTTGCTAATAAATTGATTGCAAAGTGTATATGAGAAGCTAGGGTAATCCTTCATACAGTCTGTTACAAGAAGTTATCCAAAAATAAATAGCGTGACAATGTTTTAGGGGCCTCGGAAAATCTGCTCGTGAAGGGAAACAGGATGCCTACGCTGCTGCTGTATGTATACAGTTGAATTCATCCGTCTTTTCTTGTACTTCTCCTTACATGTTTTGTACATAGACTGAAAGTAGTAAACCTAAGATTAGGATTTGAGCTTTATTGTATTGCAGATGGTGCTTGAGAGATACTTTTCAGAGTCAGGTCGGAGAATCGAGCTAGTGTTACCCAAGCAGTTGGACCTCCAAGAGAAGCTCAAGAAGGGGTGTACTGAAGATGCTGATTATTTTACAGACGAATCTGATTAGGTGTTAATGGTATACTGTGATTGTGATAACTCTTGTCACTAGAATAGTACTTATACCTTTAGAAGACATGGATGATGTACCCTTTTTTGTTTGATAAATATCTTCCTCTTGTAAATCATATTCGAGAGAAAGGAAGTCATGTATCTTGCTTTCCTTGTTGAGGAATTTCCACTACCTGAGATGAAAAATTAAATAAAGTAAAAGTGGACAAATAAGAATGCAATCTGAAGTTGTAGGCTTTAAAAACTTTTGAAAGAATGTATCTGATAAAATTTCAAACGCATCATTTAGAGCAAAATCAAACAATTTTAGAGAAATTTGATTTTTTTGATATATACATTTAAGTTAGAAACTTTGGAGTTGATGAAATCCCTGCAGTATTCATAAATCTACACATAACGTGCCTATTCAATTCTTGGAAAGACTAGAACAAATAGATAATAAGAAATCAAATAGGAAAATGAGCTCAAGTCGAGTGAGAAAAATGGACACAATTATAAGATGAACATCGCATACCTAAAAGAGTTAAAATATCTAATTATTGTTTTATACGGTTTATTTGAATGAGTACTGGTAATTTAATAGTCACCAAGCAATTATTAGATTATTTGTCAATGAAGAGAATGCACAACAAAAGTACAACAATGGCAACTAATGCCTCAATGTCAAACTAGTTGAGCTCGACTATATAAATCTTTTAAGTCTATTCCCTTCAAGTTGGACTCATCTGAGTCCAAACAGAATACCAAGAATTCCAACCTTAAGCTTTAAGAGGACCAGCTCAGCTTTATTGTTATCATCATCACAACCTGACAAAGACAATAAAATTAATATGTATATACAGAAATTTCTCTCCTTCATTGATATTTAATCCGATCATGCACAAATGAAGGATCCCCTTCTTGCACCTGCATTGCCACAAAGTGAGACCACTTTAAAACTCTATTATTTGTGATCTTCTAAACTGAAATATATGTGAAACAAAAACAAGAAGGAATAGGAAATGGACTCTTAATATCAACACACAGGGAGGTGGTCCCAGGAGGAGAGAAGAAGGGAAATAAAAAACGAAGACAAGAGGAAAAGAATAAAACAGTGAAAGAAAGAATACTCTACTCTATGGAGCCAGCAGACAATGCATTCCTACCCATAAATCAGAAGGCCAAGTTGTCTTTGCAAGCTCAGCTGTATAATGGGTTTTTGCAAATCTCTTTCTTTCCAATGAAGTGGATCACCAGTCTCAGCTCCAGATTCTGTTCGACATCAATCAACATGATTATTAGCTGACATAAGCCTTAATTATACCGCTGGTCTAAACTAGGAGTACAATGACTGACATCGATTATGATCGAGTCACCTTAACATGGCTATGCAAAGTACTTTAGATAGGATGAAATCATATGACATGGTTCAGCACTTCAGCCTACAGCCCCGTGAGTATTGATCTAATACAAGTACCAATCTAGTAACCAAAAGAGTGCATTAGCATGATTCAGAATATAAGAACAATTCAGGCCAAAGACTCCCTTTATGGGCTCGGAATCTTTTAAGTCAAGTAAATCTCATTTTAAGTACATTAAGCTAGTCTTTGAAGTATTTACATACTGCTTTTGTGGCTGAACACAATTATCTGAAGCCTTGAGTTGGCCCAACTTCCTACATAGAAAGGACCTCTCCTTTTACACCAGTAATATACATGAAAAAGAAAGAACATTTCACACTTCTTACGTCGTTCCTGCTATTATGGAACAATCTCCTACTTTCATTCCACACAAGCCAGAAGAGACATAACAGTGTTGTGCTCCAAATCACATACTTCTCAATGCCGATTTTCTCTAATCTCCAGTCGACATTGTCTCATGGAACATCCTTAGCGACAATCAAGATTATTCACCAGAGTAGACCAAAGTCCATAGAAGAGAGGTAAAGCCAGCTATTTGTCTCATCTATTTAAGCTTATCCGCGATTTATGATGCATCACAAATTGCGTGCTATTTTTTTTTGAAAAAAGAACTTACTTTGGTACCCTCATCTTCAAGGCTTTTCCCCATATCTCCTCTTTCCCTTCCTTCTAATAGCTCTAGGAGAGTGATTTCACCATGAATGTTGTCATCCGTAATCTCCTTCACATAATCTCTGTCCTCCCTCATTTCCCATATCTGCAGATCTTTTCATAGAAACTCCTCCACTTCATCTCGCTTGCAAACTAGTAAGTCTCCTTCAAACACTCATGTCCCACATAATTCCCTTGTCCTCCATTCTTAACTAATAGGTCACCCTAGCCTTACAATTCTGCATATGCAGCATATATAACAGCTTTGTGTATGCGTCTTCAGTTTTTCCATCATACCACAAATCCTTTCAAAAGCATACTGTCTCCACTTTCAATAGTGTAGCCAGTATGTAGTGAATCCATCCTTCACTTCAAAATCCCTTCCATAGGCTCACCCCATGCGAAAATGTCATGTCTCCTCAAGTTATACATTCAAGCTCTATAAATAAACCAATACCCTTGACCATAGCTCATAGTTTCTTGATTGAATCACTACAACCACCTCTCCAAAAGCATTATGTTGAAGAATGGTAAATTTTGTATTCCCTCCTCCGTGGGAACATCTTTTTTCTCTAATCTACCAAATAGAATCTATTACTTCTTTCCTGCAAAAATCTCATGACTTATTCCTTATCTGTTTGCCACATTTGAAGGCATACAAGAATAAAGACACAGTACTAGGAAAATAGAGAATGGACTTCAACAATGTAATTTTTCCTCCCTCGGACAAATACTGATTTTCTACCCATTACGCTTTCTCTCAAACTTCTCAATCATAGGCTGCCATAGTTCATTGCCTTTGAACTTTATCCCCAAGGAAAATCTGCATTTTGTTATCCGATGCGATCCATCTTACACCCACATATTTGTCCTATCTGTGAATATGCATCCTGTACTTACCTCCCCCACTGGCACCAATTGTGACTTGTGCATGTTAGTACACAATCCCGACATGATTTCAGACTAAACAAATGTCTTAAATAGGTATTACAGCTGTTGAATCTCAGGTTCACAAAAGATTAAAGTGTTTATGAACGAATAATAAGTGGGATATGGCAATACCTCCTGTTCCTTTCTCTTCTTGTATTTCTTACATCGATCCTCTGAGTGTACCCTTCCTTCCACCATCTTCTCCATGAGTTCACTGTAGAGTTCTAGGATGTTTATGTTGAGGCTGCAACTCCAGCCACATGAAAATAAGGAAAAGGAATTGGCTACTGCGAGTTTTTAGATTACAGGGTCAATCAAGTTAAAAGCTCAAATAAACCGGAAGAAGAACCTGTAATGGCCTGCTACATATGACAAAAGGTTTGGGGCCCTTTACACTCTAACAAGTGAAGTGAAGATACCTGGAACCAGCAGGACAAAGAAAGAATAGAGATTCGATAAGAAACTGCAAGTGGAAGTTGTGTGAGAAATGGCATAGAGCCTCAGACTGTTTTGTCCATTCAATTCTAGCCAGCACTCGAAAGATGCATGAGAACAGAAACATCTCAGAACCATGGGATTCTCGATGAGCAGGTCAGGATAACAGTGTTATTTCAGTTCAAAATCCTATGAGCCATGATTTCGTCAAGTAAAGAAGAAACAAAGTTGTTAGAAAAGCAAATAGAAAGAACAGTTACTAGACTTTTCAAAAGTCTCTTCTAAATAGCAAATTTAGTTTCATTCACCCTAGATGTGCACAGTTCGATACCACAATGATGATATGTACAAATTCATTTCAACAAGGCATCAGAAGTTCTTCATATATAAATCCAGATTGGTGAAAATCAAAATTGTACTGATTCGAACCTTGGAATTACTTTCAAGATGAACCAGGTACTGGCCTACTCAAAAAAAGATGAACCAGGTAATGGCAAATTGTCTCCAACATGCCAATGCGGTCATGCTACACTGACATGGTCAAGTTCAGACGAGATTTGATTCTATTGAATCGAGGAGCTCTTAAGATATTCCTTTGTTCTGACATCCAATGGAAATAAGTTCCAGTTTCTAAAGGCTCCCCCGACCTATATTCATAATGCCAAACCATTTAATCCCAATTTGCTAGAAGACAGCAACATAATTTTTAATACCAAAATGCAAATGCAAAAATTTTAAATGCAAGTAAGGTGTTGGTAAAAAGAAGAAGATCCTACTCAATCACGGCAGAATCAGCTGCTGGAGAATCAAGTCCAACTGGGTAGAGGCAGTTGCTCGTTGAGATTGACCTTTGAGTCTTTGATAGTGATAACAATAAGCTGATATCAAATAGAGGACACAAATGATTGAGACTGACCTTCAAGTCTTTGATAGTTATAAATATTAAGAAGAAGTTGAAGAAGGACAGAAAAGATTAAATGGAGATACTTTAAAGTAAAGAGCACAATAGCAAACAAAATACCATGTAATATTTAGATTTACAAACTAAACTTCAATATTTAGCATAATGGCTTTCATTCTCATAAAATAATCAGATTTCACTAAGAAAAGGCATAGATTTCCCCTATACAGGAAGAACTACTACTACCTTTTGATACTTCCATGGAGATACTGAAACACTACTTTAATGAACAAACATTCTTTTTAAAGCTTTTTATTATACAGCCAAGCCACTATCAGCTAAAATACTTTAATTTTATGCAAGCAATAATTTCAATCTAAGAGGATAGAAAAAGATACAAATAGATACCAACGGCATCTTAAAACCCATATATGTACTTATGGTTGACCTGAAGAAAATATAAGAGCTTAACATACCTTCAAGATTCAAAACTTCTGATATTAAGATCCCACAGAAAGCCCAATGCTTGGGATAATTCTTGGGAGCAGCTTAACTTGAGGTACTGAATTTGATTCATCGTTGCTAGGAAGAGAAGGTATCTCATTTTCCAAAGTAGAATAAGCATCTGCAAATGCCTACAGAAAGTAACTTTTATTAGAATAGTTATATGCGTCCAACACTCGATGATTATAATTTTTAATGAGAAGCATAATTTGTTCAGTAGCACCTTCAGTCCCAAAATAACAAATTGCGACTTAGGAACTAACTTCATTCCATACATCAAAACAAGGTGCAATAAAAATTTAGAGAATAGTAGAATACCAAAAGGTTGTT